CGACGCGCGCAGTCGCTGACCTCGACTCTCCGACGATGCACTAAGGCCGGAGAAGGATTGCACCGTCTCGGTATTTACGGTCTCTGACCTAGCCTACTTCCGATGAGGCGGCCTGATCTCTCTGACCGTTTAGGTCCTGTTTCAACTGGTTTAACAGGAGAGGAGACAGACGTGGCAGAGAGGAAGGGGCAGAGGAAAATTTCGCCCTGTTTTGTGTTTGTATCGATTCTATTCAAACATATTAAATGAGTATCGAATGGTACAATACTTCGGTGAGTTTCAGACGTCTTCCATACGTTGTTTGAGGCAGGGGGGGGGGGGGTTGGTTTGGTTCGGGGTGGTTTTCCAGACACGTTTGACGAAGTGCGTGCACCCATTTGTTGAAGTGACGCCAACCCGTTTGACGAAGCAGTTCTAACTCATTTGCCGAAGAGGTTCATAACATATTATTTGCCGAAATGGTGCACTAACATTATCCGGATTTTGCTTAAAGCGACTCGTTGCCCAGCCCTAACCAAGAACCAAAATGCAGTTCTATTCATGTAGTTCGTCTCTCTCAGTGGCGGTGGGTGGACCAACATTTGGGTGGGGCTTAAGTTGCTTCCATTTCTTTTCCATCAAATAGCAAGCAATAAGAACTAAACAGTGATGATTTTTCTATACTCCCGGTGAGCCACGGCATTTTGTGAACCATTCAAACGAAAAGAGTTACTTTTGTTTTCCATCTCTTTGTTCTTAGTTAAATTCTTGTTGATGGTGGGAACGTAGCCGTTTCACCTCCAAATTTCCTCTAATTAATTTTCATGTGAAGTAAAAGTTGCCTTAGGAGTAGTTCGACCTGATTTATAACTGTTAAATCTCAGCGGCACAAACACAAACATGCACACACAGCACTTCAAACATATTGCTTCTATAAGCTGGATTAGGCCGTGTAGTCGAGAAAGTTGAACGCACCTAACAAAGAACCAATGAGCGCATAGATATTTGTGTCAGAGGGGGAAAGTGTGTCGTAAACTTTCACCCCATTGTCAGGGATAGGAGAGCCTGAGCCCTCAGTACAGTGTTCTTTTTTAATGTATTTTACCTTTTTTACTGGAGGAGTTTCATTAAGGGCGGGCCGTGAGAAAGGGCTCATCCTTTGCTGAGCCCTAAAGACATTTGATTGGCTATTGGGTTACTATTGTTGTAAGCGGTGACAACAGTGATTGGATAAACGAGCAAGCCGCCAAGTTGATCATTCTGTGTTCATTGCGTGCGGTCATAACGGTTTCAACTGCTTATTTCAGTATAATATGGAGAAACTTTTGTTTACTTTGGGATAGAGTTGGGGGGAGAGGGTGGGGAGGGGGGAGGAAGGCCTCAAGCCCGTGAGCCCTTCACTACCCACCGCCACTGGTCTCTCTCCGGGCTTTTTTTCCCCCTTGAACGAGAAAACATATTTTGAACTACTCGCCCAACTTGGTCAACGTTGTGTCCTGAAAACGTCCTCCTACGTGTCGAGTACATGCATTTGAAAAGTGGGCTTGCTTACGCCTAGATTCTAAAACTGAAAAATCAAAACCCAAGCGTGTGTAGCTCTAATTAACTGAATTCAGCATGGCAGAGGAGTACAGTGCACGAATTACAGATGTGGTAAACAGCGGCAGTGTTGCTTTCATGATGTCATTGGCGAAAGACACAGGCATCCTTACAGCGCTGAAAGACGCTTTGCAACCTCTGACCTCACAAGAAATGGCTGATTTGAAAGGTCTAAAGGAAAGGTAAGTGGTGTCTGTATGTCTGTTTTGTATGTTATGTTTGTGTGTATGGTGGTCTGTTTGTTTGTTGGTTGGTCTGTTCTAACAGCGCTGAAAGACGCTCACCACCTTTGGCCTCACAAGAAAAAGCTGATTTAAAAAGTTTAAAGGAAAGGTAGGTGACTGTATGCCTGTCTGTATCTTTTGTGTGTGTGTGCGTCTGTTTGTTTGTTTGCCTGTCTCAGCAAATAGATAGACAGATTAATAAAGATTGCACACACGCGCAGTATGAAAGCGCAAGCACACGGGTGGATGTGGGTGTGTGTGTGTGTGTGTGTGTGTGTGTGTGTGTGTGTGTGTGTGTGTGTGTATATGTGTGTGTTTATGTGTATGAGTGTTTGTGTGTGTGTGTGTGTGTATGTGTATGTGTGTGTGTGTGTGTGTGTGTGTGTGTGTGTGTGTGTGTGTGTGTGTGTGTGTGTGTGTGTGTGTGAGAGTATTTGCTTCAATGTCGTGACCAAAATACAAATATGTCTATCCTTCTGTCTGCCTGTAGATCATGTCTAACTGTTAGTCTTGTGTTCTTCTCTAACTAA